AGTTTGCAGTGAGCCGAGACCATGCCGCTGCACTCCAGCCTGGGCAACAGAGCAAGACCCTGTCTCAAAAAAAAAAAAAAAAAGTACACACACACACACACACACACACACACACACACACGGTGTCCTGGAATTTATTTCCAGATCTGGCAACCCTAACCTAGGTTCACATTTGGGCCTCTGCTTCCAGGAAATGTGACTATGAGCACAATCTGTCTTTCCTTTTTTCTTTTTCTCACCCTCTTTCTCTTTCTTCTTCTTTCCTTCTTCCCTCCTTGCCTGCCTCCTTTCTCTTTCTTTGGTTTTTCTTTCTCCCCCTCCTCTCCTCCACTCCCTCCTCCTTCCTTCCTTTATTCTTTACTTCCTCTCTCCTTTTCTCTCTCTTTCTTTCTTCCCTAATTGTGTCAAGTGCATCAATCTTAATTTTAAATATGCAGCTTGATGAATTTTTACATATGCATAAACTCCTGCAACCACTACCCAGATTAAGGAGCACATTTCCAGCATCCCAGAAAATTTTCTCTGCCTCTTGCTGGTCAGTATCTCCCCCAGAGGTAACCACTCTTCCCATAGCCTCTGTTGTTGTCAATCAATTTTGTATGTTCTTGAATTTCATAAAAATGGAAGTATGCAATATGAACTCTTAAGTGTCTGGCTGTCGCTTCTTAACCTAATGACTGAGATTCATTCAGGTTGCTATATATAACAGTATTTTTCCTTTTCATTGCTGTATAACATTCCATCGTGTGTTTTTTTTTTTGGGGGGGGGCGGGGTTGTTTCCTGAAAACACCACAATTTGTTTATCCATCCTCTGTCTCATAGATATTTTGATTGTTTCCTAAGGGTCCACTAAATGAACACCCTTCTTGGCAAAGGGAACCCCAGAAAAACTTTAAAAACTTTGTTTCCAGCTATGATGGGACAGGAGGTCAGGCACACCACATTATACTCCCTTCCTTCCTTTTGTGATTTAGATACAAGAACTGATCAACATTAATGCTAAAATAGAGGGCTGGGTATGGTGGCTCACACCTGTAATCCCGGCACTCTGGGAGACTGAGGCAGGCAGATCACTTGAGGCCAGAAGTTCGAGACTAGCCTGGGCAACATGGTGAAACTTCGTCTCTACAAAAAAAAATTTTTTTAAATACAAAAATTAGCCAGGCACCATGGTGCGTGTCTGTGGTCCCAGCTATTGGGGAGGCTGAGGTGAGAGGATCGCTTGAGCCCAGGAAGCAGAGGCTGCAGTGAGTCATGATCGTTCCATTGCACTCCATCATGGGTAATAGAGTGAGACTGTGTCTCAAAACAATCAAACAAACAAACAAAAAAGAACCATAAGACTGACAGAACAGACTTTTTGTGGTGATAAGATATCAAATTATAAACACAGCCTAAGGCCACGTCAGGCAAGGGTTAAGTCAGGTGCCCCTACTCTTAAGGAATAAACTATGTTCTAATTATGTTACAGGATTTTTCTTTTTCTCTAGCTGCTAAACAAGCACTGACCTCAAGAGAAGCAATATTAAAACAGTTACAACTCATCCATCTCACAGACTCCCAAATGACACCCTGTTCCACCAGTCATAACTACAGCTTTGATTGAACAAGAGACTGATTTCAGTAACTTTCTCTTAATAAAAAGATCACTGACCATGGACTGCATCTGGTGGGGTTACAGAAACCGCACCCTCAGGTGCCTGCATTTCCTGAAAAGACCTTTTAATATGTAGGTTCTTTTATTTTTATTTTATTTTATTTTACTTTTTTTGAGATGGAGTCTCTCTCTGTCACCCAGGCTGGAGTGCAGTGGTGTAATCTCAGCTCATTGTAAGCTCCGCCTCCCGGGTTCACAACGTTCTCCTGCCTCAGCCTCCCAAGTAGCTGGGACTACAGGCGCCGGCCACCACGCTCGGCTAATTTTTTGTATTTTTAGTAGAGATGGGATTTCACCATGTTGGCCAGGATGTTCTCGATCTCCTGACCTTGTGATCTGCCTGCCTCAGCCTCCCAAAGTGCTGGGATTACAGGCGTGAGCCACTGTACCCGGCCAGATGTGTAGGTTCTAATTGTAATACGTTGATTGATTGATTGATTGATTGATTGATTGAGACAGGGTCTGACTCTGTTGCCCAGACTGGAGTGCAGTGGCACAATCACCACTCACTGCAACCCCTGCCTCCTGGGCTGAAGCAATCCTCCCACCTCAGCCTCCCAAGCAGCTGGGACTATAGGTGCACACAACTGCACCCAGCTACTTTTTGTATTTTTTGTAGAGACAGAGCTTTCACCATGTTGCCCAAGCTGGTCTCAAACTCCTGGGCTCAAGCGATCCACCCACCTTGGACTCCAGAAGTGCTAGGATTATAGGCATGAGCCACCACGTCTGGCCTAATTGTAATACATTTAAATGTTAAGTCTCTGCCCCAAAGTGAACATGTATGGTATGTCACATGCACGTTTGTGCATACACGTGTTGGGGCCATCTTCACAAATATTCATAGTTTCTCCTGTAACCTGCCGATTATATCATTCAGCCAACCCCTTCGGCACAAAGCTCCTAACCCAACCCCTCCTCCTTCAAAGTGCCTGTCTCTGGTCTTGGAGGGAGGCATACTTCCCAGCCTGTGGGCTGGTCCTGGTAGGCTATAACCCCTTATAAGAAATAAAGTCTCTTCTCTCTGAATTTACACATCTGTGATTTTTTTGTTTGTTTGTTTGTTTTTTGTTTTTTGTTTTTTTTTTTAGTTAACAGGGGCTATGAACATTCTTACAGAAGCCTTTTATCTTTTGATTGATGTATGTTTTCATTTATCTTGGGTATATACATAGACGTGGGCATGATAGATATTAGGATAGCCATCTTTAACTTCAGTGGATGCTGGAGCAAGTTTCTGAATTTTAGCCCTGAAGTGGGGATGATAATAACAGCACCTGCTTTAGGGCTGTTTCAAGATTCAAAGAGAAAATCTGGGTAAGGCAGGGTGCGGTGGCTTACGCCTATAATCCCACCACTTTGGGAGGCTGAGGTGGGCAGATCACCTGAGGTCAGGAGTTCGAGACCAGCCTGGCCAACATGGTGAAAACCTGTCTCTACTAAAAATACAAAAATAATGAGCCAGGCGAGGTGGTATGCACCTGTAATCCCAGCTACTCAGGAGGCTGAGGCAGGAGAATTGCTTGAATTTGGGAGGCGGAGGTTGCAGTGAGTCGAGATGGCACCACTGCACTCCAGCTTGGGCGACAGAGTGAGACTCTGTCTCAGAAAAAAATAAAAAAGAAAATCCGGGTAAAGTATTTAGAATTGGTACACCAAAATTTATAAAACGTAAATTATTGCTGGGATGGCAGTGGGGAGCCTGAAGATATTGGGCTTTTGTGAATGTTGAAGTGCTCCCATGACGAATTAAACACACAGGGATCTTTATAAGGGTCACATGATATTTAAGTGATACTTGACTATTGTATTAAAATTCAAACTAGTTAGATATAAAATAAAAAGTGGGTTTCACCCCATCCATTTTTTATTATTGAAGAAAAAAAAATATGTCAGAGTGTGGTGGCTTATGCCTATAATCCTAACCCTTTGGGTGACCGGGGTGGGATGATTGCTTGAGGCCAGGAGTTTGAGACCAGCTTGGGCAAAATAGCAAGACCCTGTCTTTACAAAAAATAAATATTTTGACTGGGTGTTATGGCATGAATCTGCAGTCCTGGCTAGGCCAAAGCAGAAGGATTGCTTGAGCCCAAGAGTTCAAGGCACCACTGCATTCTGGCCTGGGTGGTAGAATGAGATCCTGTCTCTCTCTCTCTCTCTCTTTTTTTTGAGACAGAGTCTCACTCTGTCGCCCAGGCTAGAGTGCAGTGGCTTGATCTTGGCTCACTGCAAACTCTGCCTCCCAGGTTCAAGTGATTCTCTTGCCTCAGCCTCCCGAGTAGCTGGGATTACAGACATGTGCCACCACGGCCACCTAATTTTTGTGTTTTTAGTAGAGACGGGATTTCACCAACCTGTTAGCCAGGCTGGTCTCAAACTCCTGACCTCAAGTGATCCATCCACCTCGGCCTCCCAAAGTGCTGGGATTACAGGCATGAGCCACTGCACCTGGCCTGACCCTGTCTCTTTTTTTTTTTCCTTTTTCTTTTTTCTTTTTTATAGACAGAGTATCGTTCTGTAGCCCAGGCTGCAATGTGCAGTGGTGCCATCTCGGCTCACTGCAACCTCCGCCCCCCGGGTTCATGCAATTCTCTTGCCTCAGCCTCCTGAGTAGCCGGGATTACAGGCACACCCCACCACTCCCAGCTGAGTTTTTATAATTTTAGTAGAGATGGGGTTTCACCATGTTGGCCAGGCTGGTCTCAAACTCCTGATCTCAGGTGATCCACCCACCTTGTCCTCCCAAACTGTCAGGATTACAGGTGTGAGCCACTGTGCCCGGCCGATCCTGTCACTTAAGAAAAAAGGAGAAAATACTAAGCAGTGAGTATTTTGCAAGCATTTTCTTATTTCATCTTCACCTTTTAATTTGATGATACTAAAGGCAAGTGTTAGAGGCCGGATTGCTAAAGCTGACCCAAAGAATGCCTCCCTCAGGGCTGGTTGATCCGTCTCTCTCAGGCCTCAGTCTTCCCATCTGTACAGTGAGGTGCCCACAGATCTCTGGGCTCTAAAAATCACAGCTCCACATCTATCCCTGGCAGAGGAAGGGCCTGGAGTCCTGCCGCTTGCGTCTCTGGGATACGGGAGCAAAGAGCCACGCATCCCCATGGCCCACACAGCCGTCACCTCCAGTCTCTCCTTGGCCTCATCTCCCCAGCGTCCTGGAATGGCATCGGGTTGGCCCAGGGAGCCCCTGTCCTGTGCCTCTCCTTTCCCCTCAGGGGCTGCCAGGCTGACCACCCCCTCTCTGCAGGCCAGGCCTCCAGTGCCGCAGGGAACGGCCCGACCCTCCCCCAGGGCAGCAGCAGGAAGAGGGAAGAAAGGGGATCCTCTCCAGCTGGCCAGAGCGACAGCCCTTCTTGTGCTCATCCACCCTCCAAGAATGCCCGTCCTCCCTCCCTCCCCCGAGGCCTGTCCACAGGAGCTTGAGATCAGCCAGAAAAGTCAGGCAACTTTTCAGGGACCGGGAGCGAGGTCTCCCGGCCGGGGCCTGGGTCCAGTCTCTGCGGGCAGTGCAGTGCTGAGCCCCACCCCTCAAGCCGTGCCCTGTCCATAGCTCCAGACTTTGACCCTGCGCTCCAGTCCGGGCTGGTGGACAGAGGGCTGGAGGCAAGACGCCCCAGAATCAGGAGCTTCCCCTCAGGAAATAGCATCCTGTGTCCCCGCACGGCAGTTATCTGGTCTCTCCAGCAGTTTGGTACTTCCGGTGAGTGGCAGATGCACCTTTGAGCTGGGGGCAGGGGTTGGGAGAGGGGAGAGGCAAAGGATTTCATGTCCTACCAATGTCAAAGACGGGGCTCAACATTACAGCCTAAGGCAGGTGACAGGAAAGGAGAGCTCCAGCCTCTCAAACATCCAGCAGAGAGACCATAGGTAAGAGATTTTTCCCTCCCCAAGCCTCAGTTTCTTCATCTGGAACACTGGGATCATAACTCCCCTCTTAGAGGGTGAATCTGAGTGTTAACAGAGGTGGTGCATGTAAAGTGCTTAACAGATCTAGGCAGGTAGCAAGGACTCAAATGATAGTTATTATTTTTGATGGGGGAGTTGGTAGCCTGGTTCTCAAACTTTTATAGCTTCTGTTCCATTTCAAGGACAAACTCTGCAAATAACTTCATAAGAAGTAGCCATGTGGTACAACCAGGGAGAACGAATTATGTTCATTCAAATGCCTCATCTCTGGCTTACTGATTTTTTTTTTAAACAAGTCTTTCATATTCTTTGCTGTGCACGTAGCAATCAAAGCCATCAGCTGTCTCAGATTGCCTTCTAGGGGACAAGGGAGGTCCTAGGCAGATAAACGCAAGACTGAAAGACAAGCAGAAAGCGTCAGGTGGCAACTGCATGCCGACTGCCTAAATATTTTTTTAGAGCAACGCAGAAAGTGCTGATAGAACTGGGTCTGGATCCGAATGCTGTCCCATACTGACTGTGTAACCTTGGGTGGGTGACTTCTCCTCCCTGAACCTCAGTCCCAGCCTCCAGAATGAGGGCAGTAACCTTCCCTACTTCCTACAGCAGTTGAGAGGATTAAGAGGATTACGTCTGTGCTGCATCTACATGTGTCTGGCAAGTGGCAGAGACCAAAATACGTTGGTTCCCTTCCTGTTCCATGCTTACACAGACATTCTAATCACACACACACACATACACATGCACACAAATATAATAATCCAAGTTGTTTGCATCTTCTGGGATGCATACTCCAAGCTTGCTGGGTTGAAGTAATGGTGTAAAACAGAGGAGAATGGCAACGCTAATAAAAACATCAGCAACAACACGAAAATGTCCAACCGAGTAACTGAGCTGGGTGTGTTTAAGTCCAAAAGCTCATTACCTACACGCATGAATGATTTTACCTGAGGCTGGATCTGCCAGATCTCACAATGTGGCTCTGGCTTGTCGTGAGGACCTCATGCATTTATTTTGCACTTTAACACACACACACACACACACACACACACGTTGCAATAATCAGTGTCAATTTTGACTCATACAGTGAATTTTTTTTTTTTTTGAGACGGAGTCTCACTCTGTCGCCCAGGCTGGAGTGCAGTGGCCAGATCTCAGCTCACTGCAAGCTCCGCCTCCCGGGTTCATGCCATTCTCCTGCCTCAGCCTCCCAAGTAGCTGGGACTACAGGCGCCCGACACCTCGCCCGGCTAGTTTTTTGTATTTTTTAGTAGAGACGGGATTTCACCGTGTTAGCCAGCATGGTCTCGATCTCCTGACCTTGTGATCCGCCCATCTCGGCCTCCCAAAGTGCTAGGATTACAGGCTTGAGCCACCGCACCCGGCCCCATACAGTGAATTTTTAAAAAAAGATAATTGACTTTGGACTCACATTTTTTTCCTTTTAAATTGTCTTTTTTTAGACGGAGTTTTTTTGTTTTTTTTTTTTTTAGACGGAGTTTCACTCTCGTCACCTGGGCTGGAGTGCAACGGCATGATTTCGGCCCACTGCAACCTCCTCCTCCCGGATTCAAAGGATTCTCCTGCCTTGGCCTCCTGAGTAGCTGGAATTTCAGGTGTGTGCCACCAACTCTGGCTAAGTTTTTTGTATTTTTGTAGAGACAGGGTTTCGCCATGTTGGCCAGGCTGATCTTGAACTCCTGACCTCAAGTAATCTGCCAGCCTCAACCTCCCAAAGTGCTGGAATTAAAGGCGTGAGCCACCGTGCCCAGCCTTTTTGATTTTCCATTCTATTCCCACCAACACTCTAAAAATTCCTACAGACATTTTATTTTATTTTGTCTTATATTATATTATATTATATTATATTATATTATATTTTTGAAATGCAGGACTCTGAAGCTTCGGTTGTTCCTCTTTACCTGCTTGATTCTCAGATTTTCAAACCATGTGATTTACCGGCAAGCACGGCCTTTAAGCACATAGACTTATGAGCCAGGCTGGCCTGGGCTCTGCCTCTCGCTACCTGGGTGTCCAGGAGCTGATATTCCAGTGAGGAGACAATAAGGCAAGGAACTTTGTCAGCTCTCATAAAAGTTTATAGATGAGGTTGGGCGTAGTGGCTCACTCCTGTAATCCTAGCACCTTGAGAGTCTAAGGCCAGCAAATCACCTGAGGTCAGAAGTTTGAGACCAACCTGGCCAACATGGTGAAACCCCGTCTCTACTAAAAATACAAAAATTAGCCAGGCGTGTTGGCGCATGCCTATCATCCCAGCTACTCAGGAGGCTGAGGCAGGAGAATCACTTGAACCCCGGAGGCAGAGTCTGCAACGAGCTGAGATTGTGCCATTGCACTCCAGCCTGGACGACGAGAGTGAAACTCTGTCTCGAAAAAAAAAAAAGTTTATAGATGAGGAAACTGAGGTTCAATTAGGATTAACCAACTCATCTTGGTTTGCCTGAAACTCTGATGCACTGACTTTTAGTCTGAAAGGCTGCATCCTGGCAGGACCCTCAGTCCTGGGCAAGCTGCGGACGTTGGTCACCCTCACTCAGTCAAGTTGAGCAACCTGCCCAGGGTTACATGGCTGGTGTGTGCCCAAGTCAGCCTGCGAACCTGGGTCTGTCTGACCCTCAGCCTGGGCCATAGTGTCTCTTGGATTCATCATGGAGAATCTGGAGAATGCAGAAAGCCCTTTATTCCTCTGCCTTCTCATTGTTAACGTATAAAAATGGTCAAGAGGGCAAGTGCAGTGGCTCACACCTGAAAGCCCAGCGCTTTGGGAGGCTGAGGTGGGAGGATCGCTTGAGCCCAGGAATTAGAGGTGGCAGTGAGCTATGATCGTGCCACTGCACTCTGGCCTGGGTGCCAGAGTGAGACCTTGTCTCTTAAAAAAAAAAAAAAAAGAAAAAAAGTGGTCAGCTCTCTGGAAATTATGCAGAGACAGTCAAAAAGCCCAGAGAGGGAGAATTAACTTAGCCAAGGTCACACAGCAAGGCAGAAGTGAAGCCAGGTCTGACTCTGCCTTTCTCTTCTTCTTTTTTTTTTTTTTTTGGAGCGAGTCTGGCTGTGTTGTCCAGACTGGAATGCAGTGGTGCGAACTCGACTCACTGCAACCTCTGCTGCCAGGGGTTCTTCAAGAGATTCTCCTGCCTCAGCCTCCCTAGTAGCTAGCATTACAGGCGCCTGCCACTGCGCCTAATTTTTGTAGTTTTTAGTAGAGACGGGATTTCACCATCTTGGCCAGACTGGTCTTGAACTCCTGACCTCGTGATCCACCTGCCTCGGCCTCCCAAAGTACTGGGATTACAGGCGTGAGCCACTGAGCCTGGTTCTCCCTCTCTCCTTTTGTTCCTGCAATGTTTTTGTTCTATGTGATTTTTTCAAAGTTCTAGGAGACAAAGTTCTAGGAGGCTGCTGTGTGTTGATGGCCTACTCTGTGCCAGGCATTGTACCGAGAACTTTTGCTAAACTCGTTATTTAACCCTTAAAATGACCCTGTAAGATTGGGATTACCCCCTTTTCGCAGATGAGGAGATTGTGTCTCCAGGCAAAGTATTAGAGAAGAGGGAGGAGAGGAGGCCAAGAGTCCCTGAGAGGGGCTGTCTCCTAAGCCCCAGTATCCAAGCTAAGGCTCGAAGCTGGAAGAATTGCCTAGAGGAACGATACCTTTCTGTTTGTTGGTTCTATCTCCAACTTGGCTTCTGAAACCCCAACAGAGTCCAGTTCTTGTGGACTGGAGCCGTTTTTCCCTCCTTTATAAAACTAGGCCATATTAAGAATGTTCTGCTGTCCAGGGCCGCAGGCCCAAGTTGCCAGGAGCTGAGGTCTGCAGGAGGAGAGTTGTGAGTGAAGAGGAGGGAAAGTTGAATTTGGCTCTTCTGAGCACAAACAATTCTCTTGTTCTGCCTCAGCAGGAGGCTGCAGAATATTTCCCTGCTGTGCAGACTTAAGTAGCTTCAAGGTTAGAAGCTGGTAGGCCTTCTAAACTTCTCAGGGCCCAATTAGCCCTGTGCCCCAAGGCAGGTGGAGTTCTGTGCTGGAAGACCAAGTTCTGAGGCCAGACACTGTGTCTGTCATGCTCATAGCTGCATTTGCTGGCTGCTAGCCTGGCATATGGTAGGTATGCATTAAGCGTGTGTTGAGTTTGCTCAAATTGAAATTAAGTCACAGCTGCACCATTTAACTGGCTGTGTGACTTCAGGTAAGTCACATCACCTCTCTGAACGTCAGTTTCCTCCTCTGGAAGACGGGGCCGAAAGCAGCAGCCCCTACCTCATAAGAGTGTTGGGAGACTTGGAAGAAGGGATGCCTGTGAAGCACTTAGCTGGGGCCAGCTGGCTCACAGTAGGTGCTCCACAAATGTCAGTACATTACTTCTTTTTCATCAGGCAGCTTGTTAAATTTGTTACGTTTGGCATCTTGTTCAATTTCCCATCCATCCCCTCAAGTATGGATTATTAGAGGTTGAAGCATCTTGCTCAAAGTTAACGGCCAGTAGGTGGCAGAGCTGAGTCCTGAAGCCAGAGCCCGTCGCACTAACCATCGGCCTACCGAGCCTACAGTTGGTCATGCGCTCTGCTGGGTCTTTTCTATTCCCAGCCCAGAAACTGGGTGTCTGGGGATGCTCCCCAGAGAAAGCTGCATCATTTACCAGCCGTGCGACTGTGGCCAAGTCTCGATTGCTTCGCCATACCTCAGTGTTTCCATTTGCAAAATGGGAACAATGATATTCCTTCCTCCTGGGGTCATGGGGAAGATCAAATATAAAAAGGGCTTGGTGGTGTCTGGCACTTTCTAAGCCTTCAGTGGATGGTGGCAATGGTGGTGAGGATGATGGAGATGATGGTGATGATGGTGTGCCTCAACCATTCCTTCCCACAGGCTGGTACCATGCGTGTGGTGGTGATCGGAGCGGGAGTCATCGGGCTGTCCACCGCCCTCTGCATCCATGAGCGCTACCACTCAGTGCTGCAGCCACTGGACATAAAGGTCTACGCGGACCGCTTCACCCCACTCACCACCACTGACGTAGCTGCCGGCTTCTGGCAGCCCTACCTTTCTGACCCCAGCAACCCAAAGGAGGCGTGAGTGAGGGTCACATAGGGTAGCCTGGGGAGCCCATGGGGCTAAGTCTGCAGAGGGGGTCAGGGTTCCCATCACCAAGAGCAAGCCCCTTGTGGAAGCTCTGGTCTAGCATAAGATAAAGAAAATGCCAGGCATGGTGGTTCACGCCTTTAATCCCAGCACTTTGGGAGGTCGAGGTGGGAGGATCACTTGAGGCCAGAAGTTCCAGACCAGCCTGGACAACGTGGCAAAATCCCATCTCTACCAAAAATACAAAAAATTAGCTGGGCATGGTGGCGCACGCCCGTAATCCCAGCTACTCCGGAGGCTGAGGCAGGAAAATCATTTGAGCCCAGGAGGTAAAGGTGGCAGTGAGCTGAGATTTTGCCACTGTACTCTCAACAGAGTGAGACTGTGTCAAAAAGAAAAAAATAAATAAAAGATTCATAAATATTAAGCCCCTTGCTCTGTGCCAGATACTAGGAGGTTTTGTCTCGTCTTCCTGAAACTGGGTGCCTGTCAATACCACATGGTTGGTGAATCTGGAAAACTTCCTCTTTTTTAGTTTATAAATTTTTATTTTTATTATTATTTTTTTGAGATTGTGTTTCACTCTTGTCGCCCAGGCTGGAGTGCGATGGCATGATCCTGGCTTACTGCATCCTCTGCCCCCTGGGTTCAAGCGATTCTCCTGCCTCAGCTTCCCAGGTAACTGGGATTACAGGCATCTGCCACCACGCCTGGCTAATTTTTGTACTTTTAGTAGAGATGGAGTTTCACCATGTTGGCCAGACTGGTCTCGAACTCCTGACCTCAGGTGATCTGCCTGTCTTGGCCTTCCAAAGTGCTGGGATTACAGGCATGAGCCATCGTGCCTTGCCAAATTTTATTCTTTTTAAATAGAGATAGGGTCTGTCTGTGTCGCCCAGGCTGGTCTTGAACTCCTGGGCTCAAGCAATCTGCCCTCCTCAGCCTCCCAAATTGCTGGGATTACAGGTGTGAGCCCTTGCACCCAGCTGAATCTGGAAAACTTCTAAGTGGGTGAACATCTAAGTGGGTGGATGGATGCACAGATTTATCAAATAAATTGCAAAGGTCATTATGGTAGTTTAGAAACTGCCAGATGCTTCAGCAAATGGAATGCCCAATGAATAGCAGCTCAAACAGATTAAAAAATTGTTTTAGAGGCATCCTGTCACCCAGGCTGAAGTGCAGTGATATGATCATAGCTCATTGCAGCCTTGACCTCCTGGGTTCAAGCAATCCTCCCAACTTAGCCTCCCAAGTAGCTGGGACCCAGGTGCATGCCATCATGCCCGGCTACTTTTCTTTATTTTTTGTAGAGCCAGGTTCTCCCTATGTTACCCAGGCTTGTCTCAAACTCCTGGCCTCAAGTGACCCTCCTGCCTCAGCCTCCAGAAGAGCTGGGATTATAGGCATGAGCCAATGTACCCAACCAGAATTTTAATTCACACCTCTGTAAAAAACCAATGTTTCTGATCAGTGCGCAGTGATTCAGGGGCCCAGGCTCCTTCCGTCTCATGGCTTTGCCATTTTCCCACATGTTCCGGAGGTCACCTCAATGTCACCATTCACATGGGCCGGTGACTGCAGAAGGATCACGCAGGACCACATGCGCAGAGTCTTTAGAGTCCCTTGGCCAGAAACAAGTCACACGGTCTCATTTAGCTGCAAGAGGGTCTAGGAAATGTAGGTGAGCTCTGTGCCCGGGGGAGGAGGAAAATTTGAGGAGCTGCAAGTCGATATCTGCCACCAATGTTTACAAGGAGGGGTGCTTGCAGCCAGCCTGAACAGTGTGGCTCATAATCCCCAAAGCCAGGTCAAGGCCTTCACTGAAACTCATCAGCCATGTAATCCTGTGCTGGAGGTGCACTCCAAATGGTTATGATGGGCATCCTTCATTCCCTGTCTTCTTTATTCTATTAATGGGGAAATATTGGAAAATTTGGGAGGGAGAAGACCCATGGCATTTGGGGAGTTGCAAGAGTGAACGTGGTGGATTTCTGGGTTTTGGACACACCCCAAACCCCTGATCATGCCACAGCCCCATGCCAGCTGACCTAAGGTTTTTTGCCCAGCTCAGGGCATTGGGTGATCGAACTCTTCATGACCCTTCCAGGGACTGGAGCCAACAGACTTTTGACTATCTCCTGAGCCACATCCATTCTCCCAATGCTGAAAAACTGGGCCTGTTCCTAATCTCAGGCTACAACCTCTTCCATGAAGCCATTCCGGTGGGTGAACACTTCTTGACTGTGAGGGATGATCCCCCAGGGCTGGGGTGGTGAGGGTGAGTGCCGCAGAGCCTTAATCACAGATGAGGGCGGGGTGTTTTGAGTCTCGTAGGCAACAGACTCCTGGGTTCAAAACAGGTTTGGTTTAAATTCTATTTTTGCTTTGAAAATTATTTTTGTTTCAAATTTTGCTGTTCAGTTGGCAGAGGACAAAGAATCTTCTGATGCCCAGGGGAAACTAGCCTTTGATTAGCATGGCTAAAACACAAACATGTTCTGCAGTGACGGGCACTTGGTGCTGAAGCCAAAAGGTTTCATGTGTCCCTGAAGGTCCCAGGGCTTTTTATCAAGAAGAAATAAAATACTTATCATAGCAAAAACTGCCAAAGCATTTATTTTGTGCCAGGCCCGGTCCTAACTCATTTACAGCTAGCCGCTCATTTAATTCTCTTTATAACCAGGAGGTAAGGGCTGTCCTTATCCTCACTTAATAGATGAGAAAAAAGAAGCTCCGAGAAATGGAGTAACTTGCCCAAGGCCACAAAGCTTGCCAGTGGCTGAGCTGGGATTTGAATCCAGGCCATGTGTGACCACATGCTGCCCAATGTGCTCACAGGAACAGCACAGCCCTGGGAGGGTTTGCCCAGGCTTCTTGGAGAGGGTGGTCTGGCTCTGTGCCCAGAGCCCTGTGCCAGCTCTTAAAGTTCATTCAACCTTTAGCACTCTGCTAAGGGCTTTATCCACATTATCTGTTACCTTTCATGGGACTAAGAGTATTTTTTTTTTTTGAGACGGGGTCTCACTGTATTGCCCAGGCTGGAGTGCATTGGCATGATCTCGGCTCACTGCAACCTCCACTTCCTGGTTTCAAACCATTCTTCTGTCTCAGCTTCCTGAGTAGTTGGGATTACAGGCATGCACTACCACGCCTGGCTAATTTTTGTATTTTTAATATAGATGGGGTTTCACCACGATGGCCAGGCTGGTCTCGAACTCCTGACCTCAAGTGATCTGCCTCCCAAAGTGCTGGGATTACAGGTGTGAGCCACTGCACCTGGCCAAGAGTGATTATTAACTCCATGATACAGACAAGGAGACTGAGTCTCAGAGAATTCAAGTAGTAAGTGATGAGGCTGGGGTCTCCGCCCAGGTTGTCTGACACTATGCTCTGTTGCTTTCTCTCATCCCCGGGGACTCTCACTGTTGCCGCTTTCTCTCCCCTATTTCTGACCTTTTCCGTATAACTCACCCTCAGTCTTACTCTTACCCTTACCATAAATAGCGGTTAAGAACATGGACTCTGGAACTGAGCTGTATGGGTTAAAATCCCAACACCACCATTTATTAGCTGTGTGACCTTAGGTGAGTTATTTAATCTTTCTAAGCCTCAGTGGGTCCATCTGTAAACTGGGGAAAGAATAGCATCCACCCCAGTGGCTTCTTGTGAGGGTTAAATGGACCAGTATAAGTAAAGTGCTTGGAATGGTGCCTGATATGCACTTAGCATGACATACGTCTTTGTCATTATCTTTTTTTTTTTTTTTTTGGGGATGAAGTCTCGCTCTTTGGCCCAGGCTGGAGTGCAGTGGCACAGTCTCGGCTCCCTGCAACCTCCAGCTCCCAGATTCAAGGGATTCTTCTGCCTCAGTCTCCTGAGTATCTAGGATTACAGGCATGCACCACCATACCCTGCTAATTTTTGTATTGTTATTCTTTTTTTACTATGGACGGGGTTTCACCACATTGGCCAGGCTGGTCTGGAGTTCCTGGCCTCAGGTGATCCACCCGTCTCAGCCTCCCAAAGTGCTGGGATTATAGGTGTGAGCCACCACGCCTGGCCCATTATCGTTATTATTGACTTCCATCCCTCCTGGTACCCCCTTTGTCCTTCCTCTTCAGGACCCTTCCTGGAAGGACACAGTTCTGGGATTTCGGAAGCTGACCCCCAGAGAGCTGGATATATTCCCAGATTACAGGTGAGTTTATTGTCATAGTCAAAGGGGACCGGGGCCCCATGAGTTAGACAGACCTGTCCAGAAGGCAGCAGAGGGTAGAGGCACCAGATTTCCTGTGCTACCCAGGTCTTGGTACCCTGGTCTCCTGGTCCTTGGTCCAGCTCCTTCAGAGAGGCTACCCACTCAAACCTGGCCTTGGGCTGGGAAGGTAGGGGGTATGAAATCACAGATCTCAAGTCCGGAGGCTCCATATCACCATCTTGTTTTGTAGATGAAGATATTGAGTTTCAGAGAGGCTAAGTGACTTCCTAAGGTCACACAGCCAAGTGGCCAAACTGGGATTCCAACCCAGTCTGTATGACCCCACACCGCTCCTTTCTTTTCTCTACAGCCTGATGCCTCTCTGGTCTTCTCCTCATCCCACCCCATGCCTGAATCCCCTCTACAAATGCACATTCAATTTCCACTTGCATCTTCCAATGTCAGAGATGGTCTTGTCTGATAGAACATTTTTCCTTGCATTGAGCTCAAAACCACATCCCCCCCTTGAACTTCACCTAGTGGTCGTGGCACTACCCTTTGGGCCTACAGAACAACATTGCTCCCACCTCCATTTCACAGCCTTCAAATATAGCCCTGATTTTTACCTTTATTTTCAACTTTTGCCTGCTGTGACTCTAGCTATGGCTGGTTCCATACAAGCCTAATTCTGGAGGGAAAGAACTATCTACAGTGGCTGACTGAAAGGTGAGATTTTAAACTCCACTTTGAGGGAGGCACCTCCCAGAGACGAAGTTGTAGTAGAAGATGGTTCGTGGGCTTCCCCCTGCATGGACCAACCCCAGGGTTTGAAGAATACCCTTAGGCCTGGTGTGGGAGCTATCCTTGGTCCTGATCACCACTGGGCACAGAGGCAATGGGTCCTGAGCCTAGCTGGGCATCAGAACCACCTGGGCAGCTGTTTACACATGACGTCTATTAACAACCTCTTTTAAATACCTAATATTTGTGTAATAGTTTTAGATGTATTATTTTAAGATTTCCAGATATGTTTGCATCATCTGCAAAACATAAGCTACCTTTTATTTTTATCTACCTCTCTCTTTTTTTCTTCTCTAACTGCTTTGGCCAATACCCCCAGAACAATGTTGCTCATCCAGATGATAGTGGATGTCTTTGACTTGTTCCTCATGTTAATAGGAATCTGGCAGTGTTCTAAATTAGCAAACACTCACTTGACAGAAACGTTGATATTTATATTCACATACATTCGTATTAAGGGAGATTCCATACGTGTGTGTGTGTGTGTGTGTGTGTGTGTGACGGAGTCTTGCTCTGTCGCCCAGGCTGGAGTGCAGTGGCGCAATCTCGGCTCACCACAAGCTCCGCTTCCCGGCTTCACGCCATTCTCCTACCTCAGCCTCCTGAGTAGCTGAGACTACAGGCGCCCACCATCACACTTGGCTAATTTTGGTTTTTTTTTGTATTCTTAGTAGAGACGGGGTTTCACTCTGTTAGCCAGGATGGTCTCCATCTCCTGACCTCGTGATCCGCCTGCCTCGGCCTCCCAAAGTGCTGGGATTACAGGCGTGAGCCACTGTGCCCGGCCGTTTCTAGTGTATTTCTAATTGTGCTAGATGTTTTTGCAATGGGATGTTTAAAGGGAGGGTGGGTGTCCTCAGCCCACCTTCCTCCTCATGCCCAGCTTCTGACAAAGGGGAATTTGGCACTGGTACAACTCTCCCCTTCTCTACTCTGAATCTCATCCCCTTTACTGTTACAAAGCAATGTGGTGGTCATAGGAAGTATTGGGGGCTAAGAGGCCTGGGTTTGAGTTCCAACTCCATCACAGACTCACTCTATGGCCTTCAACAAGGCCCTTCCCCAACTCCATCTGCCCAACAAGGGGCTTGGACCATCTCTGGTTTCCCAAGGGAGATTTTTTGGACTACCAGTCCAGCCAGGTGCTCATGAGCTGATTTGACGACACAGCCATCTTCTCAAACAGCATCCTGTGCGACTAATGTCTGCAGAAGGTTCTTTGGGAAAGGTTTCTGTGCTACCCTCTTGGCGGGATGGGACAGAGAAATGAATACTAGGCTTTTTGATGTGTTTGATCATCCCAGGTTAACTGAGAGGGGAGTGAAGTTCTTCCAGCGGAAGGTGGAGTCTTTTGAGGAGGTGAGCTGCAGGGCTGATGTGGTGGGTGGGGGAGGGAGAAGAAGGGAGGCCTCTGCTTCTTGCTGCTGAGTCGGGGGCCCCTTCTCAGGCTCCTAGGGTCCCCACAGGCCTGCCCCAGACCCTTGCCCCAGGAGGACTCCGGTATTCTGAAGGAGGAAGTCTCTGCCTTCATGATGGTGGTGGGAACAAAGGAACACTGGGATCATGGTGGCCATTAGGAGCTGATTTATATCTGAGACTCGATGAGTTTTGGGGTTAGACAGCTGGCCGCCTTTTCTCAGTGTCAGCTGCACTCCAAGGTCAGATGCTTGCTTCTTAACCCTACTGACATCTGGGTTGGTCTTTCTGCAAAGTCCAGGCCCTCAGCTGACTCACCTCTAAAGCAACACCACCACCAATAATAATGATAGGAAAAGCCACCGTCTCCAGGCACCAGCAACAAGAGCTTTACTGTATGGCTTCATTTGATCCCAGCATCTAGAACCCTGCTTGGCGTATGGAAGGCACTGCATACATGTAGCTACTAGTGCTATGTCATGAGGACTAACCTGCTCTGGGTCGGGCCCTGATGGACACTGGAGATACATGGTCCACCCAATGCAGCCCTCATTCTCAATCATTCACTCAGGAACAATAGTAGCATCTCGCAATGTGTCTGTGCCATGACTGTCTTGTGATGAGAGTCCCTGGGGCTGGGTTGGGGAGCTTAGGGGCTCATCATGCATGCTTGAGATGAGACCGTCTCATCTGTAGACAGAGCTAGGGGTTCCAACGTGTCTTCTGCAAATGTCTTGGCAGACTAGAAGGCGAGAGAATAAAGTTAAAAGGAGTCAAAAGGAGAAAGATAACTATCTCTGCTTCCTTTCTGACTTCTTTCGGGAGGTTCCAGGAAGATTTCCCCCATCCAAAGAACTGCTTTACAACCACTTTTATATCCAGAGTTGTACAGGAGCCTCATAGCAGCCTGTAAACAGGCACGGGCAGCCTCATTTTACAGAGGTAGCTGAGCATTAAGGAGATAAAGAGCCATTTTCAAGGTCACACATCAGATAAATCGCAGGGTGAAAATTTGGAGCCGGGCCTCTCTGATTTGTCGTTGAGACCTCTCCCCACTGTTCATCAGGGAGTAGACAGATTGAGGGTAGAAGAAAGGGGAAGAGACAACAGGGAATACGAGGATCTTTCCCACCTTTCATCCCCCACTACCCTGTTGGTTGTTACCAGGTGGCAAGAGAAGGCGCAGATGTGATTGTCAACTGCACTGGGGTATGGGCTGGGGTGCTGCAACCAGACCCCCTGCTGCAGCCAGGCCGGGGGCAGATCATTAAGGTGAGTGTGAGGGTGAGACCCCTGCCTTTTGTTGATAGGAAGATCATTCCGCATGCTTATTCAATCTCTCAAGATGGTGGACAAATCAGGAACATCTGTTAGAGGAGCCCCCCCCAGACTGCAGAGAATTGACATGTTAAAATCCAAACTTGTCCCACCCCCATTTGCCCTCTTTCAGGATTTCCTCTTGATCGTGAAGCACACATGTATGTTCTTGTACCTATGTGGGAGCAGCATATGCCTGTATTGTAATAAAAATAGCAAACATTTATGGAGTGTTTACCAAGCACTGGATACAGGCCTAAGCACTTTATTGTGTTAATTATTATTATTATTATTATTATTATTCTCGAGACAGGGTCTCGCTCTGTTGCCCAGGTTAGAGCACAGTATCTTGATCACGGCTCACTGCAGCCTTGACCTCCCAGGCTCCCACCTCAGCCTACTGAGTAGCTAGGACTACAGGAACATGCCACCCCGATACCTAGCTCTTTTTTTACATTTTTTTGTAGAGACAGGATTTTACCATATTGCTCAGGCTGGTCTCAAACTCCTGGGCTCAAGGGATCCCCCCGCCTTGGCCTGTCAAAATGCTGGGATTACAGGCGTGAGCCGCCACGCTCAGCCTATTTTGTTAATTAATTTAGTGATGGCCACAGCCCTTTGAGCTGGGTACTACCATATCGTCATTGCCATCTTACAGATGAAGAAACTGAGGCAAAGAGGATTTAAGTAACAGGCACAAGTTCACACGGTAGTAAGAAGTGGAATTGGGATTGGAAGCCAGGCAACCTGGCTTAAAAACCTGTGCGTGCAAGCATTGTTCCATGCCTCCTCTTGCTGTGTGTGTGCATGTGCATGAGGGTATGTGTGTGTGCATGTATGTGAGTGTGCATGTATGTGGTGTGTGTGTGCATATGTGTGTGGGTGTGTGAGGGTGTGTGCGCATGTTTGTGAGGGTGTGTGTGTATGTGTGTGAGGGTGTGTGTGCATTTGTGTGAGGGGTGTGTGTGCATGTGTGAGGAGGGTGTGTGCATGTATGTGAGGGGTGTGTGTGCATGTGTGTGAGGGTGTGTGCATGCGCATGTGTGAGGGTGTGTGCATGTATGTGAGGGTGTGTGTGCATGTGTGCGAGATGTGTGTGTATGTGTGTGTGCATGTGCGTGAGGGGTGTGTGTGCATGTGTGCAAGGGGTGTGTGTGCATGTGTGTGAGTGTGCATGTATGTGAGGGGTGTGTGTCCATGTGTGCGAGAGGTGTGTGTGTGCATGTGTGTGAGGGTATATACCTGTATGTGAGGGAGTGTGTCCATGTGTGTGAGGGGTGTATGTATGCATGTGTGTCAGGGTGTGTGCATGTGTGAGGGGTGTGTGTACATGTGTGTGAGGGGTGTGTGTGCATGTGTGTGAGGGTGTGTGCATGCATTGAGGCTGTGTGTGCATGTGTGCGAGGGGTGTGTATGCATGTATGTGAGGGTGTGTGCATGTGTGTGAGGTATGTGTGTGCATGTGTGCAAGGATGTGTGAATGTGTGTGGGGTGTGTGTGCATGTGTGCAAGGGGTGTGTGTGAATGTGTGTGAGGGTGTGTGCATGTGTGTGAGGGGGTGTGTGCATGTGTGTGAGGGGGTGTGTGCATGTGTGCGAAGGGTGTGTGTGTGTGTGTGCATGTGTGTGAGGGTGTGCATGTATGTGAGGGTGTGTGTGCATGTGTGTGAGGGGTGTGTGCGTATATGTGTGTGAGGGTGTAATGCATGTACGTAAGGGTATGTGTGTGCATGCATGTGAGGGTATGTGTGCATGTGTGTGAGGAAGTGTGTGCATGTATATGAGGGTGTATGTACGTGTGTGATGGTGTGTGCATGTATGTGAGGATGTGTGCATGTGTGTGAGGGTACGTGTGTGCATGTGTGTGATGGTGTGTGTGGGCAGGTATGTGAGGGTGTGGGTGTGTGCATGTGTGCGAGGGGTGTGTGTGAATGTGTTTGAGGGTGTGTGCATGTACGTAAGGGTATGTATGTGCATGCATGTGAGGGTGTGTGTGTGTGCATATGTGTGAGGGTGTGTGTGCATGTATATGAGGGTGTATGTACGTGTGTGATGATGTGTGCATATATGTGAGGGTGTGTGCATGTGTGTGAGGGTATGTGTGCATATGTGTGATGGTGTGTGTGTGCGTCTGTGAGGGTGTGTGTGCATGTGCACCTGTGAGTGTTCATAGGGGTGCACGTGTGTATGCTTATGTGTGTAGGGGTGCATGCGTGTGTTCCTAATGTGGGCTGATGGGTGTGACAACCAAAATGAGTGACTGAGGCATACGTCTGAAATCATCAAAGTTTATGGAACCAGCTTGAAGGCACGCCCAGGAAAAATGCGAGTCACAGATGCACCTGTGGCTCTTTTTTCCAAAGAGATTCTTGGGAGATTTAGTCTTTATATGTTTTCTTTTTTAAAAAAGCAGAAGAAGGGTGCAGCTGTGAGAGAATGATAACATACTTGTGAGACTTTAGTTAGTGCCCAGTAAATCTACATTTTACATAAGATAAGATGAAGGTTTGGGCCAGGCGCAGTGGCTCACGCCTGTAATCCCAGCACTTTGGGAGGCCGAGGCAGGTGGATCACGAGGTCAGGAGTTCGAGACCAGCCTGGCCAATATGGTGAAACCCCATCTCTACTAAAAATACAAAAAATTAGCCGGGTGTGGTGGCAGGCGCTTGTAATGCCAGCTACTTGGGAGGCTGAGGCAGGAGAATCACTTGAATCTGGGAGGCGGAGGTTGCAGTGAGCCAAGACTGCACTCCAGCCTGGGCAACAGAGCAAGACTCCGTTTCAAAAAAAAAAAAAATTGAAAGTTTGAAGAAAAAAGGAATGGAGGAAGTTCTGTACCTGGGAAGATAAGCTGGTCAATGACATCATCATTGTGGAGTCTGTTGAAAGGGCTGGTTTCTGCTTACCACTTAGGGAAGAAAGCCTGACTTTGGCCAGGTCATTGAGGGAGGGGATATAATGAGGCACATTAGACCTCCCATCCCACCGCGGCTGTGAACTCAGCTCCAGGGTTTCTCTGGGGCTCCTAGGGCCAAGAGGGGGTCTGTTCATTCAGTTGGGGGCTTAGAATTTTATTTTTATTTCTCATGTGTATGCATTTACATGTGTGTACTGGTGCTTTTCTTCAGACATGTGGGTGAGGAGACACAATGCTTCAGGGAGCAGGGGTGGCTGCCAATCAGGGCAGCTCTTCCTGCAAGAGGCAAACAGCCAGGTGCACACTTGGGTCATAGCATCATGAGAGGTCTTATAAGGAATCAGACCTGACTCTTGTCAGGTCATCTGGCCACAGAGGGGAGCAAGGACAGCCGCACTGACTCACCTCTGCTGATGAGACTTTCCTGCCTTGAATCAACAGGTGGATGCCCCTTGGATAAAGCATTTCATTCTCACCCATGAGCCAGAGAGCGGCATCTACAATTCCCCGTACATCATCCCAGGGTAAAATTGGACTGTTCTCGGGCAGAAGAGGGGTCCCCTTCACGCCCTCTTCATGCCCCTGCTGCCTGCCCCAGGCTCCTTACTGCCCACAGTTGTTCCCTTTCAGTGTTTTAACGTATTTATTTATTTATTATTATTTTTTGAGACAGAGTTTCCCTCTTGTTGCCCATGCTGGAGTGCAATGGCGCAATCTTGGCTCACTGCAACCCCTGCCTCCTGGGTTCAAGCAATTCTCCTGCCTCAGCCTTCCAAGTAGCTGAGATTACAGGTGCCCACCACCATGCCCAGCTAATTTTTTGTATTTTTAGTAGAAACGGGGTTTCACCATGTTGGCCAGGCCTGTCTTGAACTCCTGACTCAGGTGATCCACCCACCCTTGCCTCCCAAAGTGCTGGGATTACAGGTGTGAGCCACTGTGCCTGGACCCTTTCAATGTTTTTAAAGTGAGTTTGAACTACTGAATCCCTGGGAAGGCAGACTCAGCCTTGACTGAGGTCTACCATGAACATTCTTTTGGATGACAATAGTGGTGATGCTGAAGATAAAGGCAGTGGATGTAATGCGGTGACACTAAAAGTGGTATGTAGGTGGCTCATGCCTGTAATCCCAGCACTTTGGGAGGCCAGTGTGGGAGGATTGCTTGAGCCCAGGAGTTCAAGACCAACCTGGGCAACATGGCGAAATCCCATCTCTACAAAAATTGGCCAGGCATGATGGTGTATGCCTGTGGTCCCAGCTATTCAGGAGGCTGAGATGGGAGGATTGCTTGAGCCTGGGAGGTTGAGGATACAGTGAGCCATGATCACACCACTGCACTCCAGCTTGGGCCACAGAGCGAGACTCCGTCTCCAAAAAAAAAAAAAAAAAAAAAAAAAAAAAAAAAAAAAAAAAAAAAACCGTGGTGTGAATGGCAATAATGGGAGTGGGAATGGGAATGGTGATTGGGGTTGATGGTGGTGGTAATGTTAATGGTGGAGATGACAATGTCACCGAAACCAGTGGTGATGTTTGTGGGATGACAATATTGTTGATAGCAGAATGGTGGTAGTAGGGATAATATTGTAGTGATGGGGAAGACAGCATTCATGGGGGTGGTGATTGGCATAAGAGTGGTAGAGTGGTGATGTTAATGGAGGTGGTCTGGTGCTGATGAGATCAGTACTGACGAAGGTGTGATTGGGAGTCGGGATGGTAGTTGGTGCTGATGGAAATGACACTATCAATGATATTAATATGTAGCAGAGCTGACAATCTCAAAGGCAATGTTAATAACATGGTTGCACCAACCATGTGGTCTCAATGGCAGTGTTACTGGTGTCATGGAAATGACAATATCAATGGCAATGTTAGTGGTGGTGGTGAAATGATGAATGCCGTTGGTGGTGATGACCTATTAATGATAGTAGTGAAGACAATGTTGTCGATGGAGATGCCAACACTGATGGAAGTGGTGATGGAAGAGTTCATGGTTGGTGTTGATGGTGATGACAGTGACAATTGAGTTAGTGATGGTGGTGTTGTTAGCAGAGGTGACAAGGTTGATGATAATGACCTTATTCATCTCGCAGCCTTCATTTTCCTTGATCCTTGACCCTCCTCATTTGTATCTAGGACCCAGACAGTTACTCTTGGAGGCATCTTCCAGCTGGGAAACTGGAATGAGCTAAATAATATCCAGGACCACAACACCATTTGGGAAGGCTGCTGCAGACTGGAGCCCACTCTGAAGGTAAGGTAGGGAAGAGTAGCAGTGCCCTAGACCAAGGTCCTGGGAGCTTGTTAATGAGGACACTTCAGGATGGGAAGATGCCACCGCTGGGATAATTGGGCAAATTAATTCCAGCAAGGGATGTGGAATATAGCAGAACTTGACAATGTACAGGGAAGTTCTTGCTATGGGCTAATGAATCCTGTCTGGTCATGGCTGGGAGCCCTTGGCTTTCACGTTTGTCTGCGAGTGATGATGACAGTAGTGACGGTGATGAGGATGAGTTGGTATTGATGGTGAGGAAAATGCTGAGAATGGTAATAATGATGGTGATAAGATGGTGACTATTGTTAGAATTATGGTGGTGGCTGATGGTGAGGGTGGTGGTTGATGATGGAATTGGTGGAGAGGTAGAAGCAATAATGGTAATGATGTTGGTAGCTGATAAAGATGGTGTTGGTGGTAGTGGTGATTGATAAAGGTGACTGTGATTATATTAGTGTTGGTGGTGATGAGATTCTAAAAACTACTTACTACCTAAAAATGGCCACAGGAAAAAAAAATCCAGAAATGAGTGATCAGCACGTTTCTTTCCAGAATGCAAGAATTGTTGATGAACGAACTGGCTTCCGGCCAGTACGCCCCAAGATTCGGCTAGAAAGAGAACAGCTTCGCGTTGGACCTTCAAACACAGAGGTATGCTCCCACAGCAAGGAAAGTAATGCCCTCCTCCACTCCTTAGATGGCTCTGGCATTTTCATGAAACAGTCATGTCTGATCTCAGGTTCCACACAGGCTCCCTGGCAGGCAGGGGCAGTGGTGGCTAATATCCCCTCCTCTATAAATGGGGAAACTGAGGCTCAATGATGGTTAAGGACCTGCTCAAGGTTACACAGGGGGGCAGTGGTGATGTTAATGGAGGTGGTGCTGATGAGATCAGTGTTGATAATGGTGTGATTGGGAGTGGGGATGGTAGTTGGTGCTGATGGAAATGACACTACCAAGGATGTTAATACCTCAGCAGAGGTGACAATCTCAAAGGCAGTGTTAACATGGCTGCACCAACTGTCTCAGTGGCGATATTAATGGTGTGGCAGATATGACAGTATCAATGGCAGTGTTAATGGTGGTGGTGAAATGGTGAATGGGGTTGGTTTTCTAAAGTCTGTGGTCAAATAGCAGGAAAATGTGTACTTACTGGATGTGTACTTCATGTCACACACAGCAGCAAGTCCATTACATGAATGACCTTATTAAATCTCCTCTGGAGCTCTTTGGGATAGGGACAGTTCTCTCTATGCTTCAGATGAGGAAACTGGGGTGAATTAAGAGGTGAAGTCACTTGCCCAAGTCAGACCACTGGTGGAGGGCAGGGCTGGGATGTGATTTGAATTTGACTCTGAGGCTATTTTCCAGATATCCATTTTGTGGCTGCCCCATCATCTCTTGCTACTGTCCCAGGGGGTCCCCACCATTCCCCCTGGGTGCCAAGAGAAACTCTGGTGGCATCTGGCTTTGCCCAGGACTCTTCAGGAGGCTCCTGAGTCTTCCAGGGCAGAAGAGCTTCATCTATTCTTTCCACTGTCCCTCTCGGACCTGGCCACCTTCTCTCTTGCTTCTCCTAGGTCATCCACAACTATGGCCATGGAGGCTATGGGCTCACCATCCACTGGGGATGTGCTCTGGAGGCAGCCAAGCTCTTTGGGAGAATCCTGGAAGAAAAGAAGTTGTCCAAAATGCCACCATCCCACCTCTGAAGACTCCAGTGACTGCTGCTTCCCCCACAAGAACTCCCTTCTCCCCTCAGCCAACAAATCAATGTGCTCCTTCATAAGCCATTGCTTATCCCTCACTTCTTTCCTCCAAGAAGCATGAGGTGAGAGAAAGCCATAAAGTCAGTGCCTGGAGAAGGGTTCAGCCCAACATGGGGCCCCTCTCATCACCGAAATCCCTCTACCTTCTCTGGATCTGGCATTATAAAGAACAGCTGGGGGCTGTTATTCCATGAGTCTTCAGAAGAAAGGACAGCTCAGAAAATCAAAGAGGCCAACTGCCCAGAGCCACAGAAAATTGAGGATAATTGAGACTAAGTAACATGATTACAAGTTGTACTAACATATTAAAGGTTCTGAAAAGTCCTGCAGCAAAGGCAACTATCTGATGTTGTTTAACCCAGTGCTTGCTAAACCTATCTGGCTGTGGAACACTTTTGCCCAGAGCACCCATGAATGCCATGAAACAAATTTGAGAAAACGCTAGAACAGATGTTGTTTTATCTGTTGTATTTGTTGTAGGAGGTTATACATACAACTTGGGCGTGGAGGAGGCAGAGAGGTGAGGCACTGAACTAGTAACACATGGTGTTTCCTCCACATCCAGAATTCCAAATGGCATCAGCTATTCACCAAGTGGCCCCATGGGCACCACGTAACCTTTGAGGAGGGGCCACTGAAGGGATCATCCCACAAGGAACCCCTTCATAGAGAACTGTTTTAGTCCATTTTCTGTTGCTTATAACAGAATACCTGAAACTGGGGAATTCTTTTTTTTTGAGACAGGATCTCGCTCTGTCACCCAGGCTGGAATGCAATGGCATGATTTTGGCTCACTGCAACCTCTGCCTCCCAGGTTCAAATGATCCTCCCTTCTCAGCCACCCTAGTAGCTGGGACTACAGGCACTTGCTACCATGCCCGGCTAATTTGTGTGTGTGTGTGTGTGTGTGCACGTGTGTGTGTTTTGTAGAGACGGGGTTTGGCCATATTGTCCAGGTTGGCGTTGAACTCCTGGGCCCAAGTGATCCTCCTGCCTTGGCCTCCCAAAGTGGTGGGATTATAGACATGAGCCAGCACACCTGGCCGAAACTGTGGAGTTTATAGAGAAAAGGAATTTATTTCTTACAGTTATAGAGTGAGAAGTCCAAGATTGAGGGACCACATCTGGTGAGAACCTTCTCTCTGGCTGGTACAGAGGTGGGGACTCTCTGCAGAGTCCCAAGGAGGCTCAGGGCATCACGTGGTGAGGGGGCTGATTGTGCTAACATGCTAGTTCAGCTCTTTCCCTTGTCTTAGAAAGCCACCAGTTTCCTTCCCAAGATGACCCACTAATCCATTAACCTAATAACCCATTAATTGATAAATGGATTAATCCATTTATGAGAGCAGTGCTCTTAGGATCCAATCACCTCTTAAAGGCACCACCTCTCCAAACCACCACATTCAGGACTCAGTTTCAACGTGAGTTTTGGCAGGGACATTTAAGCAATAGCAAGAACTTAACTCACCAAGCATGCTCCTTGTTTGGGGGGCAATTTAACATCTCTCTTGTCTTTCGGCTGGCACCCTCTGAAATGACAAACAAGCTCCCAGGTGTTTTTGAAAGCCTTAAATGAGCCGAGGAGACCCCTTAGCATCTTCATCCCTAATTATCAGCCTCAGCCTCCAAGGCTGAATTTTCACCTGTCTGGGTTTCGGTGAAAGGCCAGAGCCTAGGAAGCCTCATGCATCTTGGCCCAGGAGTCCCCTGTGTGCTGTGAAGAGGTCTCAGTTGGCCCTTGCCATGCCATGCCATTTCCATGAGGGTTGTTTCATGAAGCATCTGCCATGGCGCTGACCAGGCCTAGGCTAAGTAGGGTGAGAGAGCCGAGATTTAAGGTAGACATCCGTCCTAACAACAACAACAACAGTTATTATTATAATTATTATTTTGAGACGGAGTCTCACTCTGTCACCCAGGCTGGAGTGCAGTGGCTCAATCTCAGCTCACTGTAAACTTCGCCTCCCGGATTCAAGCAATTCTCAGCCTCAGCCTCCAGAGTAGCTGGGATGACAGGTGCCCACCAACATGCCTGGCTAATTTTTGTATTTTAGTAGAGACGGGGTTTCACCATCTTGGCTAGGCTGGTCGTGAACTCCTGACCTCGTGATCCACCTGCCTCAGCCTCCCAAAGTGGTGGGATCACAGGCATGAGTCACCCCGTCCAGCCAGTAATTATTATTATAGCTAAAACTTAATATATTCAATCTGGGTACCATACTTTGTGCTGAACTCTTACAAAATATTGCTCATTTAATCCTTACACATGCCTCATAAGGTAGCTATTATCCCATTTCATAGGTGAGAAGACTGAGGCACAGAAAGGCAGCCTGGCTGGGTGCGGTGGCTCATGCCTGTAATCCCAGCACTTTGGGAAGCCGAGGAAGGTAGATCACTTGAGGTCAGAGTTCGACACAAGCCTGACCAACAAGGTGAAACCCTGTTTCTACTAAAAATAAAAACATTAGCCAGGCGTGGTGGCAGGTGCCTGTAATCCCAGCTACTCTGGAGGCTGAGGCAGGAAAATCGCTTGAACCCAGGAGGTGGAGGTTGCAGTAAGCCGAGATCATGCCACTGCACTCCAGCCTGGGTGACACAGTGAGTTTCTGTCAAAAAAAAAAAAAGAAAAAAGAAAAGAAAAGAAGAAAGAAAAAGAAGAAAAGAAAGAAAAAGAGAGAGACAGAAAGAGAAAGAAAGAAAAGAAAAAGAAAAAAAGAAGAAAGAATGAAAGAAAAAGAAAGAGAAAGAAAGAAAGAAGGAAAGAAAGGAAAGAAAGAGAGAGAGAAAAGAAAAGAACGAGGCAGCCTGAAGTCAATAGCTGGGATGGGATAGAATGGAGATTCTGGCTCAGAAACTATGCGATTCCAGTGCTTCATTTTCTTTCCCCGCCCCCGATGGAGTCTTGCTCTTTCGCCCAGGCTGGAGTGCAGTGGTGTGATCTTGACTCATTGCATCCTCCACCTCCCGGGTTCAAGCAATTGTCCTGCCTCAGCCTCACAGGTAGCTGGGATTACAGGCACACACTACCATGCCCAGCTAATTTTTGTGTTTTTAGTAGAGACGGGGTTTCACCATGTTGGTCAGGCTGGTCTCAAACTCCTGACCTTGTGATCTGCCCACCTCGGCCTCCCAAGTGCTGGGATTACAGGCGTGAGCTACCACACCAGGCCCAGTGCTTCACTTTCAACTACCACACAAGACTGAATCCAAATTGTGGAGGGGGTAGGGTGCGGGGTGGTGGAGGGGTGGGGAATATGTAGATGTGAAGGGATGGGTTGGGCCTCTTCCTCAACTCTCTCTGTAAGCACACTGGGAAGGAACTAGCTCTCTCTTCCTCATAGCTACATTTGGGCCAAGATGAGAGGACTCTGACAAGGCTCCCAAGGCAAGGGCACTTCCTGGTGCTTGGAGTAAGACCCAGCATTTAGTTTTTGACCAATGTGATTTCTTTACCCAACCTAAAAGTCTGTAGGACAGGGGTCCCCAAGGGCAGGGGTCCCCAGTCCCCAGGCCGTGGACTGATAATGGTCTGTGGCCTGTTAGGAACTGGGCTGCACAGCAGGACGGGGCGGTGGGTGAGCGAGCATTACCACATGAGCTCCGCCTCCTGTGAGCTCAGCAGCATAGGAGTGCAAACCCTGTTGTGAACTGTGCATGCGAGGGATCTAGGTTGTGTGCTCCTTATGAGAATTTGTTGTTTTTCTGTTTTTTTGGTTTGTTTTGTTTTGTTTTGTTTTTTTGAGACTGAGTCTGGTTCTTTCGCCCAGGCTGGAGTGCAGTGGCTTCATCTCGGCTTACTGAACCCTCCGCCTCCTGGGTTCAAGTGATTTTCCTGCCTCAGCCTCTCAAGTAACTGGGACTACAGTTGTGTGCCACCACACCTGGCTAATTTTTGTATTTTTAGTAGAGGCAGGTCTTTACCATATTGTCCAGGCTGTTCTTGAACTCCTGACCTCAAGTGATCCACCCACGTTGGCCTCCCAAAGTGCTGGGATTACAGGCATGAGCCACCACCCTCGGCCCCTTATGAGAAATCTAATGCCTGAACTACCACTGCCCCCCACAGAACCCCATCTGTGGAAACATTGTCTTCCACAAAACTGGTCCCTGGTGCCAAAAACTTTAGGGACACCTGGTCTAGGGAGAATGATCCCTACCTGCCAGCCAAGGCTAGCCGTCAGTAGAAATCCTATAGGACTGAGTATATAGTGAACTCTCAAAATTGTATGGGGACAGGAGACTCCACATTCAGACCCAAAATGACCGTCTTGTTCTTTCTGCAAATGGTAAGAACCTCCTTGAAAATGTATCCTAAAATTAAGAATAGAAGGACCATGGGGAAATCCTGCATCCCACATAGTTCTGTAGATTTTGTAGTGGTTGATTTCTATACAGGAAGTCTTCACTTAACATCGTTGCTAAAAAGTTAGCTGGGCATGGTGGTGCACACCTGTAATCCCAGCAACTAGGTAGGCTGAGGCACAAGAATTGCTTGAACCCAAGAGGCGGAGGTTGCAGTGAGCCTAGACCACACCACTGCACTCCAGCCTGGGTGACAGAGCGAGACTCTGTCTCCTAAAAAATTACTTAAAATAAAATAAAAACAGGAATGAACATCACATGCACATCTTTGGGGTGTGGGAGGAAACCGGATACCTTGAGAACACCCTTGCAGACGTGGAGAGAACGTGCAAGCTCCACACAGACAGTGGGCCCTGCCAGAATTGATTTTTTTTTTTTTTCTTTGAGACAGAGTCTCGCTCTGTCGCCCAGGCTGGAGTGCAGTGGCCAGATCTCAGCTCACTGCAAGCTCCGCCTCCCGGGTTCCCGGCATTCTCCTGCCTCAGCCTCCCGAGTAGCTGGGACCACAGACGCCCACCACCTCGCCCGGCTAGTTTTTTGTATCTTTTAGTAGAGACGGGGTTTCACCGTGTTAGCCAGGATGGTCTCGATCTCCTGACCTCGTGATCCGCCCGTCTCGGCCTCCCAAAGTGCTGGGATTACAGGCTTGAGCCACCGCGCCCGGCCTGAATTGATTTTTTTTTTCTCATCAAGGTTGTAACGAAATAACTGTTATTCGAGGATATGTTATACTTTTCCTTTGCCTAACACTGCTACTTCTGTCCTGAAGGCAATTTGCAACCAGATTTTCAGTGAATTCTTGGCAGCTTGATGAATTTAGAAAAGGCTATTCTTTCCTCATTGAATCGTCTTGGCACCTTTGTGGAAAATCAGTTGACTGTAAATGTATGGGTTTGGTCAGGCACAGTGGCTCATGCCTCTAATCCCAACACTGGGAGAGCTAGGTGGGCGGATCACTTGAGCTCAGGAATTCGAGACCACCCTGGGCAACATGGCGAAACCCTGTCTCTACCAAAAATACAAAAATTAGCTGGGCATGGTGGTGCGCACCTTTGGTCCCAGCTACTTGGGAGGCTGAGGTGGGAGGATCGTTGGAGTCTGGGAAGTCGAGGCTGCAGTGAGCTGTGATTGTGCCACTGCACTCCAGTCTGGATGACAGAGCAAGATGCTGTCTCCATAATAAAAATAAAAATAAATATATGGGTTTATTTTTGGACCCTATTCCATGGATCTATCTTATGCTAGTACCACACTGTCTTGATTTCCATAGCACTGTATTACTTTTGTTTTTTTGAGACGGAATCTCGCTCTGTCACCCAGGCTGGAGTGCAGTGGTGTGATCTTGGCTCACTGCAAGCTCCATCTCCCGGGTTCACGCCATTCTCCTGCCTCAGCCTCCCGAGTAGCTGGGACTATAGGCGCCCGCCACCACGCCCAGCTAATTTTTAAAAATATTTTTAGTAGAGACGAGGTTTCACCGTGTTAGCCAGGATGGTCTCGATTTCCTGACCTCGTGATCCGCCTGCCTCAGCCTCCCAAAGTGCTGGGATTACAGGCGTGAGCTACTGCGCCCGGCCTGTAGTACATTTTAAAATCAGGAAGTGTGAGTCCTCTAACTTTGTTCCTCTTTTTCAAGATTTTTGTTTTGGCTCTTCTGGGTCATTTTCATTTCTGTGTGAGTTTAAAATCAGCCTGGCAGGCTAGGCATGGTGGCTCACATCTGTAATCCCAGCACTTTGGGAGGCAGAGGCTGGCAGATCACTTGAGGCCAGGAGTTCAAGACTAGCAGGAACTACATGGTGAAACCACGTCTCTACCAAAAATACAAAAAATTAGCTGGGCATGGTGGCGCATACCTGTAATTCCAGCTACTCGGGAGACTGAGGCAGGAGAATTGCTTGAACCCCGGGGGAGGAGGTCGCAGTGAGCTGAGATCGCGCCATTGCACTCCAGCCTGGGTGACAGGGCAAGATTCTGTCTCAAATACATATATTTAAAAAAATCAGCTTGACAATTTCTGCAAAACAAACAAACAAACAAACAAAAAGAACAAAGTCAGCTGAGAGAGTTTGACAGGGATTGTGTTGAATCTATAGGTCATTTGTAGAGTATGGGTTGACATCTTAACAATTTTAGGTCTTCTGATTCATGAATATGAAATGTTTCTCCATTTATTTAGATCTTCAATTTCTTTCAGCAATGTTTTGTAGTTTGTAGGTCTTACACTGCATTTGTTAAATTTATTCCTAAGTATTTTACTTGTTTTGATGCTACTGGGAGTGGAATTGTTTCCCAGGCTGGTCTCAAACTTCTGGGCTCAAGCAATCCTCCCATTTGGACTTCCTAAGTGCTGGGATTACAGTCATGAGCCACTGCACCCGGGGTTTTTTGTTTGTTTGTTTTTTTAAGAGACAAGATCTCTCATTCTGTCATTCAGGCTGGAAAGCTGTGGTGCGATCAAAGCTAACTGCAGCCTCAAACTCCTGGCCTTAAGTGATCCTCCTGCATCAGCCTCCCAAAGTGCTGGGATTATGGGCATGAGCCACTGCACCCAGCCAGGACCATGTCTTATGATGTTTTGCATCCTCAGTGTTGAATATCATGTCCAGTACATGCTGGATGTTCCGTGCATACTGACCACTTGCCACGTTATGATCTGTCAGAGAGTTCTGATGAACAGACTTGAGAGTGTATGCACATGTCACTGCAGATTCCAGGCATACCAGCAATTGTCTGTGCCACCCTGCCAAAGGGCAGGCCAATGCCGCCGTGTCTGTACCTCTCCACCACTCCTTCCTGACCCAACTTAATTGGACCAGGACTCAATCCAACATTAAATTGGGCCAATCAGCTTCATTTCCTGAAGATCTGGGAGCGGGGCACTGAGCAGCTGAGTCAGGTATGTTTGCAGAGCTGAGTTATGAGGCCCTGTGCATGATGGTGCATACACAGCAGCCATGAGGAAACAGAAGGAAGCCAGACTCGTTTCTGGCAGAAAAGGGCAGAAACAAGAGCTACAGATTCAGAGGGGCAGCTGTCTTGGGCCTTGGTGGTTCCCCAGATCCCTGTTCCACTGAATGACACCAGGCTGTACTTTATTCCTATGCAATCTCTCTAAACTGTCAGAGGCTACAAACCATCAGCTCATCAACCAAAGCTGCACTGCAGATGCATTTTATTGAACTCACACATCATTTGAACATTTTTGATCAAATATACTAATATTTGGAGATTTCACAGAAAATCCTAGACTCCTCTCTTGAACATTGGAAGATCTGGTCCCACTGGACCCATGGTGGAACAGCATCAGCTAGAAGGGAGTTGCGGCCACCCGCTGCAGACAGCGCTGGCGTTTCTCTTGTCCTTATACCTTTTCCATTTCACTGATTTACATTCCCTGAATTTCCCCTGTAGGAAATTAACTACTGATCCCAGTCTTATAATAAAGCTCTGTTCCTAAATTTTAATTACCCTGAGTAGAATTTCTGTTCCTGGCCACAAAACAGCACTGATGAGAGCTCTGTGGCCTACACATCCATGGCAGGCTCCTTGCAACCATCACCTATTCAACAGCCATTGCTATCCTTCTGTGCTAACAGAATCCCAATTTTGTGTTCAAGAGACTGTGGGTATCCCTTGGTGCTGGTAGGCCCTTCCTTCCAGCCCCATAGCAGGACTTGTGCTGGGATGGACATGACACCCAGGTTGGATCAATGAGAAGCAATGGTAAATCTGCTGGGGGACTTCCTTTTCTAACCAAAACCAACAGACTCTTCTGAAAGAAAACGTTTTATGACTGCTCCTTTCCCATTCTACTTTCTTTGAAAATAAATATGATGTCCAGCACAGGGGCAGCCATTTTGTGACCATGAGGTTTCAAGCACAGGGTCAAATGGCCAAAATTCAGAGGATGGTGACAAGGAAAGGCAAAAAGAAGCTGGGTTCTTGATAACATTGTTACATGTTGAACCTTCTCTGATCTCTGCCTGGTTTTGGTTCTAATGGTTTAAGCAACTATTGACTGGGATTACTGTTATTAGGTTGTTGCAAAAGTAATTGCATTTGGGAGGCTGAGGTGGACGGATCACTTGAGGTCAGGAGTTTGAAACCAACCTGATCAACATGGTGAAACCTGTCTGTACTAAAAATACAAAAATTAGCCAAGCGTCAAGCTGGGCACCGTAATCCCAGCTACTCGGGAGGCTGAGACGGGAGAATCACTTGAACCTGGGAGGTGGAGTTGCAGTGAGCTGAGACTCCGTCTCAAAAAAAAAAAGTAATTGCAGTTTTTGCCGTTGAAAGTAATGGCAGGGGAGACTTTTGATCTCATCATTCAAGGCTTTCTGTTGCTTAATATTATATTAAAAACAATGAATATTCATACTCATTTCAAAGTCAATTCCTAAGATACTGTTTCATCCCATTGTGAACACCACCAAGGTCTGTTATATGTTTTTCAGAATACTTGAAGTAAGAGAAAGACAGAAATACATAGCTCTGGCTACACTAAATATATTTTGCCATTTTCTGAGATCTTTCCTAACTCTGAGAGAAACATGGCATTTCCATTAATGAAAACAGGAGCTTTTTAAATAGGATTGTTCAAAATTAGATACAAATGTCTTCAGCTAAAGGTCTCACGTATTCAGAGGTTGGGGTGCCTTTTGTGATAGCTCTTATATCATTTGATAATATTGATTTTTTGAACAGGGCAGGCTATTTAGAAGGCAATGAGGTTTTTTTGTTGTTGTTTTTTGTTTTGTTTTGTTTTTGAGATGGAGTCTTGCTCTGTCGCCCAGGCTGGAGTACAGTGGTGCAATCTCAGCTCACTGCAAGCTCCGCCTCCCAGGTTCACGCCATTCTCCTGCCTCAGCCTCCCAAGTAGCTGGGACTACAGGCACCCGCCACCATGTCCGGCTAATTTTTTTTTTTTTAATTTTTAGTAGAGACGGGGTTTTACCATGTTAGCCAGGATGGTCTCGATCTCCTGACCTTGTGATCCGCCTGCCTCGGCCTCCCAAAGTGCTGGGATTACAGGTGTGAGCCATAGCGCCCAGCAAGAGTTTTTAACTTTCACTTTCTCAAATAGAGAAAGCCCTCAATTGTAAACCCCTTTACCCTAGTCTCTGGGAAATATTCCTGCCCACCAAGTACTCTATCCCCACCTAACCCCCAGCGCCACTGGGTTATTCTAGGGTGAGGGAATGGACATGATCATCCAGCAGCATCTGACCAGCCGGAAGGCAAAAGAAACAAGCACAAGTTCTGTGTTACCCAGGAAAGCTCAGCTGTCTGGAAATAATTAGAGCTACAGCCACGCGTGGTTCAAGGAAATGTGGTTGTCAGAGAGAGACAGAGATCTGCCAAGCTGTCTCCTCTCCAACTGCCTGGGTCGAGGGGGCTGCAGCCCATATTTTAGAGACACAGTATTGTTTGCAGTTGATCTAGAACTTGAGCTGGAAGAAGTCCCCCATCATGACCTGCACACCATTAGAAGAAAGTGTTGTTTCCAACAGGCACAGCCACAATGTTGGCGGCCAACGGTGCATCTTTCCCCACTCATTGGAAAGGAGATTATCATACTAAAGCATTGAGATGAATTTCGATGAACAAAGGTAGGAAGACCGTTAGGCTGGACTGTCACTAGGACATGATGACAATGAATCAACTTAGGCTCTTGCAATGTCCATCACTGACATGTTTTAATAAGAGATGAACGCACAAATTGGCTTCCTTGCAATGTTTACTTCAAGCAGTAGGTCAGTCTGTTCTGGCCTTTGATGGGATCTGCCAGCTTCTTCCCTCCTTGTCTAGGTCCCCTGCCTTCACCATGGGGAAAAAAGGCTCCAGTAAACCAAATCCCGGAAGTGATGTCGCCTGCGGAGACCAACTCAAAACCAATTGGCCTCCCTCCTCTTCCTTTGAAAATATATACATTTCATACACCTGAGTCCTCCCACCTCTCTCCACTCCACAGCAGGCTCCATGAATGGAACCCCAGGGGCTGCCTTTGGGTAATGACCAAGATGGCCCTGGACAGAGGAGCAGCTTCACAGCAGGGAATCCTGGTCCCCTGATTCCCATGGGACGAGATGGTGGGTGAAGCATCCTTTTGGTTTCTCTGCCCATTCAGCTGTCTACCCATGCACAAAACCCAAAGCCCTGGATTTTGGATTTTGTACCTGCAACCTGAGTAAACTTTTTCCCCTCAAGAGTCATCATTCAGGCGGGGTGCAGTGGCTCACACCCCGTAATCCCAGCACTGTGGGAGGCCGAGGCAGGTGGATCACTTGAGGTCAGGAGTTCAAAACCAGCCTGGCTAACATGGTGAAACCCTGTCTCTACTAAAAAAGTACAGGTGGGCACCTGTAATCCCAGCTACTCGGGAGGCTGAGACAGGAGAATTGCTTGAACCCGGGAGGCAGAGTTGCAGTGAGCCGAGAGTCCACCACTGCACTCCAGCCTGGGCGACAGAGCAAGACTCTGTCTCAAAAAAAAAAAAAAAAAAAAAGGTCACCATTCAACCTGACCAAGGAGGGGGCCAGGAAAGAAGCTGGAACCGTGGCCTTCGCTGCCTCAGAAGGGGAGGCCCCTGCTCTGGCTTGAGCTTGATTCACTTTGGCCTCAGTCCTCAGTTCCCAGGGGGTAACAGCATTCTGAGGTCACCTGGTGCAAGTCCAGCTGTCCCCAGGGACACATCTGGATCTCTTGGTGCCAACGATGGCAACTCCCAAGGGGGCTGGGTGGGGGCACGTAGCTCCAGTTTGAATGCACCATGTCCATCTGCCAGAGAATCCACTGGTCAGGTTCTAGGGAGGCAAACAGGGGGCCCCTGTCAGGAAATAGCTGCTCAGATCACACCTAGATCACCTGTCATTTCAAAGAAGAAAGCCTGGGTCGGTGGGTGTGGGGGAAACCTACTGAACAGGTCTGGTGGGTGGACAGCAGGTGTCACATGGGCCTGAGCCTGGACGGTATCTACAGAGAAATCTTTTGGTTGTTCACTGAGGGTGTGGCCAGGTGACTCTGGGTGGTGTCTGATTGGTTGCTGGCATCACCAGACCCTCCTAATATGGGTAGTTTTCCCATGTAGATCCACAGGTTATGAACAAACCTTTCACCACATATACAGAGAACCCCCTAGAGCAAGTATCTCCCCATCCCTGGGTGGACCTCAATGAAGATGAGCAAACTGATTCAAGACATAAAACCTTGTTGGTCCAGGTCGTACTCTTGGGTGAGTTCTTGATGTCGGCAGTGACAATCAGTGCCCCGGTTAGGGCCCGCCAGCCCCCCGAGCTCTGCAGCCTCAAAGACCAGCACAGTCCCACGTCGGTCACTATTCCTGAGAGCCAGAGTTCGACCTGGTAACACCTGCACCGTGCATTCCTCGGCCGACCATCTCCTGGCCCCATTCCCGGTGGCTGGACTCCTGCAATCCTCGGCCTTTGGTCTCGATGGGCAAAAAGCAGGAGGCCAGGGCAGCCAGGAGGCAGCAGCCACTGTAAACTGCCAGAGTCAGGTACACAGAGGATTCCAGCATCACCTAGGGGAAGGAAACATGGGTCGGTGAATGTATCCCTTCTGAAGCACAGACAGCGCCAACCATCAAATAGTATTAGTAACATCAGGCCTCTCATGATACTTGGTTGCTAAAAAGAATCTGGTGATTCCCTCCTCTCCCTCTTTGTCCCTCTCTCTCCTTGTGACACGCCTGCCCCTCCTTCACCTTCCTCCATGAGTGAAAGCTTCCTGAGGCCTCACCAGAAGTCAAGCAGATGCTGGTACCATGCTTGTACAGTCTGCAGAATCATGAGTCAAATAAATCTCTTTTCTTCATAAATTACCTGGTCTCAAGTATCCTTTTTTTTTTTTTTTGAGATGGAGTTTCGTTCTTGTTGCCCAGGCTGGAGTACAATGGCGCAATCTTGCCTCACCACAACCTCCATCTCCCAGGTTCAAGCGATTCTCCTCCCAAGTAACTGGGACTACAGGCATGCGCCACCACGCCTGGCTAATTTTGTATTTTTAGTAGAGACGGGGTTTCTCCATGTTGGGCAGGCTGGTCTCGAACTCCTGACCTCAAGTGATCCACCCGCCTTGGCCTCCCAAAGTGCTGAGATTACAGGTGTGAGCCACCGTGCCCAACCAGGTATTCCTTTAAAGCAACACAAAATGGACCAACACAGATGTCATGCCACAGCCCTATGAGCTAAGTACTTCATCCCCATTCTACAAAGGAGAAAACTGAGGCTCAAAGAGGATAAGTGGTTCCTACCCAAGTTCATACACATAATAAGGATGGGGCTGGGATTTGAACTTGGGTCTGCTAAGCTTGAGTCTGGGCTCCTTATAACTCTTCTCTCCTCTGGAACAGTGCAGTGCCTGTGCCAGCTTCCTAGCTTTTGGCATATGGCAAACCACATGGCGGAACTGAGTCCCATTTTCTTTTCTTTTCTTTTCTTTTCTTTTCTTTTTTTTTTTTTTTTTTGAGATGGAGTCTCGCTCTGTCTCCCAGGCTGGAGTACAGTGGTGTAAGTGGTGTAATCTCAGCTCACTGCAACCTCCGACTCCAGGGTTCAAGCAATTCTTCTGCCTCAGCCTCCCGAGTAGCTGGGACTACAAGCGCGAGCCACCACACCTGCCTAATTTTTTTGTATTTTTAGTAGAGACGGAGTTTCACCATGTTGGCCACACTGGTCTTGAACTCCTGACCTCAAATGATCCACCCACCTCGGCCTCCCAAACTCCTAGGATTACAGCTGTGAGCCACCGCACCCAGCCCATTTTTTCATTTGCCAAATGGGTGTAGAGTGATGTCACTTCCTAAGAAGAAGAACCTGGGAGCACCTGGCACCGTGCAGGCACATGGTGAGCTCTCAGCCAGTATCAGTTAGGAGTGCCACACAATGGCCAGCACCAAAGTGGAACCGAAACACTTGGCTAAACATGTCTTTAAATTCTGTTTCTCTGAAATATTCAGACTTGGCAAATCCACAGAAAGCAGATGGGTGGTTGCCAGGAGCCTGGGGGAAGTGGGGAATGAGGAGTGACTGCTTAGTGGATCCAGGGGTTTATTTTGGGGTGATGAGAATGTTTTGGAACTAGATAGAAGCAGTGGTTGCCCAGCGCTGTGAATGTGCTGAATGCAACTGAATTGTTCCCTTTAAGATGGTTAATTTTGTTATGTGACGTTTACCTCAATAAAAAAGTGATGCAAACAGAAAAAAACCTGGATTTTCAAAAAGCAGAAAGACTTACTAAGATCTCTAGATACAAATGCTTCATGACACACGAAGAGTTGCAAAATTTTGCAGTGACGTCTAATTATCTAATTCAAAAAGCAGGAACTGGCATATTTATTTGTTTTCCACTAAATTGTGTCGGCGTACTTGTTTTGTTTCCTTTTTTTTTTTTCCTTTTTGAGACACGGTCTCACTCCATCACCCAGGCCAGAGTGTAGATGGCGCAATCTTGGCTCACTGCAACCTCTGCCTCCTGGGTTCAAGCGATTTTTGTGCCTCAGCCGGAATTACAGGCCACCACACCTACTTAACTTTTGTATTTTTAGTAGAGATGGGGGTTTCACCATGTTGGCCAGGCTGGTCTCAAACTACTGACCTGAAGTGATCCGCCCACCTCAGCCTCTGAAACTGCTGGGATTATGGGCATGAGACACAGCACCCAACCCTTCTTTCCTTTTGTTAAAAAAAAAAAAAAAAATCGGCCAGGCACAGTGACTCATGTCTGCAATCCCAGCACTTTGGGAGGCCGAGGCGAGCAGATCACGAGGTCAAGAGATGGAGACCATCCTGGCCAAGGTGGTGAAACCTCGTCTCTACTAAAAATACAGAAATGAGCCGGGCGTGGTGGCAGGCGCCTGTAATTCCAGCTACTTGGAAGGCTGAGGCAGGAGAATCGCTTGAATCTGGGAGGCAGAGGTCGCAGTGAGCGGAGATCGCGCCACTGTACTCCATCCTGGGTGACAGAGTGAGATTCCGTCTCAAAAAAAAAAATTCAACTTTTATCATAGTTTAAGGGGTCCACTGCAGGTTTGTTACACGGGTATATTGCATGATGCTGAAGTTTGGGGTTCAAATGACCCCATCCCCCAGGTAGTGAGCACAGTACCCAATAAGTGGATTTTTCAGCCCATGACTCCCACCCTTCCTCCCCAGTCTAGTGGTCCCCACTGTCCATTACTCCTATTTTTATGTCTATGTGTATTCAATGTCTAGCTCCCAAGAAAACATGCGATATTTGGTTTTCTATTCTTGCACTAATTTGCTCACAGTGGCCCACTTGTTTTCATCCAAAATTTTTTTTAAGCAAATCATATGGCAGCCCAAGGATTTTCTTCACAGGGAAGACGTGGGTTTGACTCCTGGATTGTCTGCTTTCCAGCTGCATGACCTTGGGCGTGTCATTTTAGCCCCTGAGCCTCTGTTTTCTCATCTGCAGGCAATATTTCTTCTGTCCTCGGGTGTGTTGTTAGGATAAAATGAGCAAATGCACCCTGAGGGCTCTGGGGGCCGTCGGCATGTAGTAACTGCTTCCTGTGCATGGGGTTTTGTCACCCTCCCACCCCTCTGTATTTGGGGGCGTCACCTACCTGGGCAATGAACGGAGTGATGAGAGCACCCACTCTTGCCATGCCACTGCAGGTGCCCAGGCCGAGGGCCCGCGTTGCCGTGGGGTAGACCTGAAACACAGCAGCTGGATATGGGCATGGGGACATTCAGGTTCCTCCCACCGCTCCAGCTCCAGGCTGATAGGACCAACCCCAGGGGCAGGCCTGAAGTTAGGGCAAATCCCGCCAGTGTTGGTTACGCCCTTAAGGGAAAGGAATCCTCACCCCAAAGGGCACAGGAGGTTCAACTCAGAACTAGGGCAAGAGGCTGAGCTGTGGGTGGGAACCCAGTAAAGCGGTCCACTCTATCCTGGGGGGCTCCCCAAAGACTCCTCCACCAGGAACTGCCACAAGTTCAGAATTCAGGGGTTGCTCTCCACCTTCTTTTCATGAGTTCACCTTGAAGCCTGGGTCACCGGCTTTCAAGGGATTTCATAAAGAGAGAGATGGAAATGTTTACAGTCTCTCAGCTTGTACCCAGTAGAGGCCACATGCCTCTTTCTTCCCTAGGCAAAGTGAGAAGGGATTGTGCATCTTCCAGGCCGAGGTAATTAAGAAGGGTGCGTTTTCTCCTCTCCTTTCCCATGTCTGCTGGCTGGGAGGAGGACTCCATGGCCCTAAGCCAGGGCTTCTCAGCCTGAACACTATGGACGTTTTGGGATGGCTCATTCTTTGTCATGGGGTGGGGTTTGCTGTGCCCTGTAGGATGTTCAGCAGCATCCTGGCCTGTACCCATGAGATACCAGTAGCACTTCTGCCTCCCCCTGCCACCTTATGACAATCCAAAATATTGCCAGGCATTGCCAAATGTCCCCTGGGGCAAGATCCCTGGATAAGAAAGGCACACAATGCGAGGAGCCTGGGTCCCCAAATCACTGAAGGAGGAAAGCTGTCCCCCAACCTAGAACACCCATATTGGACTCTTTTATTTACTTATTTGAGACAGGGTCTCACTCTGTCATTCAGGCTGGAGTGCAATGGCACAATCACAGCTCACTGTAGCCTCAACCTCCCCGGGCTCAGGTGATCCTCCCACCTCAGCCCCACCCCGAGTAGCTGGGACCTCAGGCATGTGCCACCACTCCCAGATAATTTTGGTATGTTTTTTAGGGATGGGGTTTCACCATGTTACCCAGGTTGGTCTTGAGCTCCCGAGCTCAAGCGATCCACCCGCCTCGGCCTCCCAAAGTGCTAGGTTTACAGGCGTGAACCACTGTGGCTGGCCTGGGCTTTTTGCAAGTGAGAAGCTGCTCTTGTGTCAAACACTCCACTTTGGGGGTTCTCTGTTACATTAGCTAGCATGTTTTAACAAGTGCAATGCTCAGTGTAGGAAGCTTGCAAAGAATAAAAACATGAAGAGGAAAATATAAAACTCATTGAGGTTCTCAACATTCAAGAGATTTGTTCCATTTTTTATGTATATTCCTCTAGCTTTTTCTGGATTGTATATAGCACATATGTCTTCATTCACTTACTTATTCAGCACATACTTTTTGAGTTCATACCATATGCATTTATACATGATATTTCAATTCACTCAATTACATAAACAATATAGAAATATATTCTCCTCGTAAAAAAATCAAAATGCCTAAATTCTCTCTTGATCCACTCCCTCTGCCGGGAAAATTCTCCCCATAGGACCCTACTATTAGTGATATCTTTGGAATGTATCTTCCCAGATATGTTCAAAAATATACATATGGAAAATACAGTATTTTAAAAATACATAAATGGTATCATGTCATACATATTATTCTGCAATTTGCCTCTTCCATTCAGTAGTATGTCTTAAAATCCTATCCACATCAATACACAGACATCCACATCGTTCTTTTTTTTTTTTTTTTGAGATAGGGTCTTGCTCTGTTGCCCAGGCTGGAGTGCAGTGGCATGATCATGGCTCACTGCAGCCTTCAACTCCTGGGCTTAAGTGATCCTCCCGCCTCAGCCTTCTGAGTAGCTGGAACTACAGGTGTGCACCACCACAGCCTGGCTAATTTTTATTTTACTTTTTTAGAGAGAGGGTCTTGCTATGTTGCTCAGGCTGGTCTCACACTTCCAGGCTCAAGTGATCCTCCCGCCTTGGCCTCCCAAAGTGTTGGGATTACAGGCGTGAGCCACTGCGCCCACCATCTCATTCTTTTTAATGGTTTCTGGAAGCAGAGCATCCCCCACAGCCACTCTCCCACCACCGCCCATTTCCCAGCAGCTCCCAGACACCCCTCCTACCTCAGGTGTGTAAACATATGCCGCTTGAAAGCCTCCAGAAATAAACGCTCTTGCAATGAAGAGTAACAGAGTGAGCACATTTCTAGGAGGAGGATAAAGGCAGATGATGGCATTGCTTTCTGTCTGCTTGTTTCAGCATAGTCCTATCTTCCCAGGCAGTGTCAATGCCCTAGCATTAGGCAAAGGTTACCCCTCCCTGATGCTCATTGATACAGACATGTGGGCACACATATTTCAGTATCATCTTGACAGTCCTGCTTTTGTAAGTTCGTCATTCTTCAAAGTACAAGGCTGAGAGATGGGAACACCTGCGGTGCCCAGGATGGGTACAAGATTAGGGAGAAGTGACATAAATAGTGGAAAGCTCAGACAGGAACTTGGCTGGGGGCGGAGCAGGAATTGAGCCAGGGGCCAGCTGAGCTGGGGAAAGTAAACCACTATTCAGTATTCTTAGGATAATTCTGATCCCAACCCTCTGTCCCATTGTTCCCATAAATGTTCCAGAACACCAACATTTCAGGGTCGAAGCTACATCTCCCAACCTTCCTCAGACCAGGAGGTGGCCTACAGATTCCTCATTGGGTATGGTCTGGGGCCTCTTAGAGATCAAGAGAGGCATAAGCCATTTCCATATTTTGAGGTTCTTGGCAAATGGAAAAATGGAGAAATGTTAAAATGGGATTACAAAACAGGGCCTATTTGAAATATTTCTATTGAACAAGTTAACAGTTTTAACATATACATAAATAGCTACATTTATGATCCCACTGGGAGATGATATCAAAAGTCTAAATTTGGCATCATTAGAGCAAAACTGGAGCCAAAGTTCCCCCCTGACTACAACCCCCATCAGAGGCCCCTCCCTAGGCCTGATCTTTTATCCAGTTGTGAGGCAGCCATGAGCCTCAGTCCTAGTGAGCACCTGTACCTTTGCCTGTTTCTGCACCCACTCCTGGGCCTGCACTGACACCGGCACCCCCACTTGTACCCACACTTGGGCCTACACCCACACCTGGGCCAGCACACACACCTACACCCACACTTGGGCCTACACTCACACCTGGGTCTGCACCCCCACCTGCACCCACACCTGCACCCATACTTGGGCCAATACCCACACCTGAGCCTCACCCACACCTGTACCTACACTTGGGCTTATACCCACACCTGGGCCTGTACCCACACCTACACCCACACCTGGGCCTGCACCTACACCTGCACCCACACTTGGGCCTATACCCACACCTGGGCCTGCACCACACCTGCACCCATACCTGGGCCTGCACCCACACCTGTGCCCACACTTGGGCCTATACACACACCTGAGTCTGCATCTATACCTGGGCATACACCAACACCTGCACTCACACCTGTACCTGTAGCCATACACACACCTACACCCACACTTGGGCCTGCACCTCCACCTGGGCTTACACTAACATCTGGCCTGCACCTCTACCTGGGCCTGCACCCACACCTGCACCCGCACCTCCACCTGTGCCCATACTCACACCTAGGCCTGCAGATCGCCTACCTTCCAACACAGATAAACAGCAGGAGGCTACAGAAGGAGAAGATGACGAAGCACAGGGCCATGGTCTTCTTGCGCCCCAGGCGGTCAATAATCCACAGAGTCACAAGGACACCTGGAAGGGGAGTGGGGAGAGATAGGCAGCTTCTGACGTGATTCCCAATGCCCTCCACCCTGGTAGTACAGCCTGTACCATCCCCTCCCCTGGAGGGTGGACTAGACCTAGTGACTGACTTCTAATGACTAGAAGACAGCAGAAGTGATAAGATGTCACTTGTGAGGTCAGGTGATAAAAGACTGTGACTTCTATCTTGGTGTTTTCTCTCCCTGGCCCTTCTCATGTATTTGCTTTAATGGAGAAGGCCAACTGGCAAGGAACTGAAGGTAGCCTCTGGCCAACAGCCGGCAAGGAACTGAGGCCCTCAGTGCAAAAACCTTCAAGGAATAGAATCTTGCCAGCAACCACGTGAGTAAGCATGGGAGTGGATCCTGCCCCAGCTGAGCTTTCAGATGAGACTACAGACCCTGGGCCAATGCCTTGATTGCAGTCAGTCACATGAAATATGCTGAAGTAGAACACCCAGAGAAGCCACAGCAACTGTGAGATCATAAGTGTGCATTGTTTTAAGCCACTACATTTTCAGGATGATTTGTTACCTGGCAATAGAAAACTAACCCAGGCACCATCAGGAGCCTGAATGGTGGCATTCACTGAATCCAGGGAACAGAATGCCTGGGTTCTAATGCCTCATTTTGCCTTTAACTTGCCATGTGGTCTTGGACTAGTCCCTTACCTTCTCTGAGCCTCATTTTCTTCATCTATAAATGAGCCTAAAAAACAACACATTCTACCTCAGTAGAGGCAGTATAGCATAGTGCTTATTAGTAATAATAATAATTGAATTTAAGCTAAGTATTTTTACATCTTTTTTTTTTTTTTCGAGACAGAGCCTTGCTCTGTCACCCAGGCTTGGGTACAGTGGTACGTGCGATATCAGCTTATTGCAATCTCTGCCTCCTGGGTTCAAGCGATTCTTGTGCCTCAGCCTCCTGAGTAGCTGGGACTACAGATGCACGCTATTATGCCCAGCTAACTTTTGTAGTTTTAGTAGAGATGGGGTTTCACCATGTTGGCCAGGCTGCTCTCGAACTCCTGACCTCAGGTGATCTGCCCGCCTTGGCCTCCCAAATCTCCGGGATTACAGGTGTGAGCAACCACACCCGGCCCCATTTTTACATCCATAATCTTGTTTAGTCATCAGAACGATCCTCTAAAATAAATGCTATTAATTTATCAAATAGCATTTTT